AATTTTTTGTCTCGTACCTTACATACACAATTTCACAAGAATCAGTCCATTCGTTTTAGAGGTTATCCGTTTAATAAATCTGAACACAAACGACAAAAAGAAAGACAGATGGAAACGGCAGATCCTTTTTTCATATTTTAGAGATCATAAAACTTCGAAACATGAACGTAGCCATTTACCAAATGGATCTCATTAGAATCCTTCCCCAGCTTTCAATTGAGACGTAAAAAAGAAATTAAGAAAAAAACAATTAGGCATGGAAACAACATCTACATAACAAAACACCGAGAATACGAGCAATACAAGAAAAAGAGAATTAGAGTACATGAAAACGGGAGACAAAAAAGAAAAGCTGGGAAAAATTTGGACAGATCTTAGAATATAACAGCAGAGACAATACGCAATGGTTTTACAAACACTCAACGACCAAGAAAGAAGAAAAAAACAACCATGAGTGGGCTAAAATATAAAAACGGAGAATTAATAACATATAAAGATACAGTAATAAAAAGGTTGAAGGAAATGGACGGAAATATAACAGAAGAACAAAAACAACTAACGGAAGACGAGCTAAAATACATAGAAAAAGCAGCAATGAAAATGGCTTGTTTATTTCTGCCAAAATAAGTTTTGCAATTAATTAGGCAAAACAAAAGGGTCTCAAACAAGAGGGAGAATATGTTTTACGTAAACGCGTAGATTCTGAGGTGAGACAAAATTTTCTTTCGATTTCTGAATACATCTATCACTTGGATTCCAATGCGTTCCTCAAAAGGACATCCTATTTTCACCTTCCAAATATTGACAAGATTTAAAGCCTAAATCAATCGCTTAATGGCTTGTTGGTTCTACACTAAACAATGTTCTAATTTTCATGACTTGCTGCATAAACCAACGGATAAGCACAAAACAGATTTTTTTTGTTGATTTGATATAATTAATGGGCAAGAGACTGAAAAAAAAGATTTTTAAATACTTGTCAATTTTGTTCTCTAAAACCGTAATTTTTGTGATTAATGTTCATGTTCATAAATAAATTAATTATACGTTTTTATACTCCAGTAGGTTGGATAAGGGTTAATTTTCCCAACAAAGCATTCGACTCAATTAAAAAAGAAGCACCCTGGGAATGTATTGAAGAAAATAAACTAAACATAGATTTAATAAAAACAGTAAAACAATAAACAGAAAGTACCCTAATAACGGGTGTACCTACGATGAAAAATATATTTGGAGCAGGCCTTGGAATTATTATTTGCCGTTTATTTATAACAGGGTAATTATTTTTGAGGATTAAGGAGACAACCAACTATAATTTAGAGCATGGATGGTTTTATCATTACTATCTTAAATGATAATTGTCATTTGACTCGACAGCATTTCTTATCAATTTTCGCGGTTTGTTGTTATTTCATTCGTTGCTTTGTTTACATGAAAAAAATAATTTCTTTTCAAAACTAGTTCGCGAGTTTTGCTGTTTACGCTATTATTACCAAGAATGGCTTCTTTTGAACAACACGAAGTATTCATGAAAATAATGTCTCACTATCGAAAAGGTATATAAATAGACAGAACTTGGCAATATTCAATTGGATTATGTATGGAAGAGTTTCGAGAAGAATTCCATGATTTGGCCATTTTTTCAAAAAAATGGATCTGTGGAAACAAAACCTGGAAGCGGCCGTCCAAAAAACGAACTCTAGAGCTTACTGAAGAATCGGGAAAAATAATGATACTCATTGTCGGTGCCGGCGCCCGGGTGGCGTGCGCTAAAAAAAAACCTGGAAGCGGAAGTCGCGATGGGTATTCCAGAAAGACCTCGATTGCGAAACATCTAGAAGGGAAGTATGAATTTAAACTGAAGCCACCTTCAGGAACGAGATTATTTAGCCAGCGAGTCGAATCCAGTGAACGAATTCATTCAAGTTGCATCACGGAGTTATTCTGTACATAATCGCTAACAGTTAGTCGTGTAAATTTGAGTTACTGAGAAATAAATTGTTGAGTTTTACCCACGCCGATATTAAACACCCGTATATCGTAACAATATGGACAAGGATGTCATTAATCGATGTGTGTAGAAAATCTCATATAAATTGAAAATTGTTAACAATAATAAGTATTTAAGCTTTATTTCATTTTTACACGAAGACGTACGGTTTATGACATCACAGGTCGCTGTAGAATGAAATGTGGCAACATCGCAGAAGAGCACGTGCTTGTCAAATGAAAACATAAGCTAACAATTTTCTGACTAGAAGTTGTTGTATTGTTGCAGGTCCGTAGAATACAATAATACATATAGATATCGAACAACGTAAGAATAACATAGCTGTAAATCTGGGTACAACTTAAAAACGGGTCGGGGAAAGTCCATTTTCAAATTCAAGGAATGGACACCCTCAGGGGCGTACGTCATCGTAATAAACTTTTCTACCTGGATACCTTATTCATTTGCATTCGTGCTAAAATTTATTCATAACATTATAGAAGCAAAAAATGAAAATCTGCAACTTTTTACGAAAAATATAAGGAAAATGACGAAATATATAAAAAAAACCCTTCTGAAGTGTGCATGTTACGCTAGTATATTTCCAAACTTTTCAAATACCTCCTTTTGACAAGCGTTCTTTCCTTGTCGTGACTATCTCTAATGACTCTTTTCTAATTGATGTAACATAATTTGGCGCTATATTTCAAAAACCCAGCTTAGAAAATTTTGTAAGCATGAAAAAATGTAGGGTTAGATGGTTCAGCACTTAAAAAACTACTGTTAAAGCGTTTTCTTGTGGTTTTAAGCAGATCAGAAGTGGGATTTTGTTTCTACAACGATAAAATAGCGGTACCGATAAAATATGGTCGTCTTTTTCTTTCGCATCTGAAATTTATATTTTCGTCCTTGTCATTTATCGCTTCGTATCGTATCGGTAGAAACAAAATTTCACCTCAGTTACCCCAAGGGCTCGAAAACAACAAGGAAAGCATCAAATTTTTGCTAAAAATCATATTTTGTTCGATTTTATGAGTTCTGAACTATATTTCGATTTGTTTCTGACGATTCTGATCGACACGACGTACTGCGGTATGCAGAATCGCCTTAGTTGAACAAAAGGAGACGTTTGGGTTAGTTTTTCACATTCTGGCGTTTGTAGATTCATGAAATTTGTAAAAACAAATTCACAAACGTTACTTTTAAAGCGTTTTCTCGTGATTTTAAGCAGATTAGAGACCCTACGGGCTCGAAAACAACAAGGAAAGCATCAAACTTTAGCTAGAAATCATATTTTGGTCGATGTTATGAGCTCTGAACTATATTTCTGCACTTATTTATTTTTTTAATTATGCTATTTTGGTGGTACCGGTTTCAGGGTTCATCCCCTTCCTCAGCCACCTCGTCATTTAATTTCTACAATAACGGTCAACAACTAAGTAAGAATTTTAGGCTCAAGGCTCAAGAAACAACAGATCCAGTTCCTGGTAGTATTAACACTATAATTTTTTTTTTAACCTAAGCTAACATTGTGTTTTTAAAGTGTTACAAATTTGTGACGAGGTGGCTGAGGAAGGGGATGAACCCTGAAACCGGTACCACCAAAATAGCATAAATAAAAAATAAATAGTTGGCAGAGTGCAGAACCACCTAACCCTACTTTAATTTATGCACCAATATGGAAACAAACAAATGAAAGAATGTTTCTATTTTTTTTTTCTTTCACTAAATTTATTTGTCATTGATTAGCACACGGGATTTTATTTGAGGTGTATACGAGGTTATTATATCTTTAAAAATACGGTATAGGTATAGAGAAAAATAGTCAAGTGCACTATAGGGGTGGAAATATCCCAGGTAAAACTTTTTCTCTTTCTATTTTATACACTTTCTGTGAGACAAAAAATTACCAAATTTTGAGTATGTCAAATTTAAATTTGTCTTCAGAAGTATTTGTCAAACAGAATCTGGTTTATGTAATGTTTTACTAGTTACTACTCTACTTAATTCTCAACAATGAAACGATTTAGTGAACAAACAAAACAAGTTGTATTAAATGTGTTAGATTATCTAGAAAGAAACCATGACAGAACTGGAGGCCAAAATTTCTGAAAAATCTTTATTTAATTTACAAAAAAGTGCTGGTTCAAGTGATACGGAATAGAAAGGGAATATGTCCACTACTAGTAGAAATATAAAAACTGACTTACTGGACTTTAAAATTGGACCCAGAACACTAAACGCATGGATTAGAAAAGTTGCTTTTAAATTTTATAAATCGTCTGTTTCTAATGGAGAGACCAACCATTAAGCTAAGAAGAGCAAAATTTATGCGAGAGCATCATCGTCACAAAAAAACAAAATTAATTATTCAAACCCCTTTTTTATATATACCTATACCTATTTAGTAAAGGTAATATATGTATGTAAAAAAAAACATGTCAGGAAAGAAAGAAGGAAAAGTTAGGAGAATGAAAGTTATCCGTAACATACAAGAAAGCATAATCTTTTGGTCACTAAAAAACGTCACAGTCTAAGTGTTTTGCACAGGGATATTTCCACGATTTATTTTTATTTTATTTTTATTTTATTTATTTATTCAACGGGATACCCCTTAAGATACATACAATTAATAGTGAAACAAAAAGATTCAGAAAGACATAAAAATTAAATATAATAATTTAGTACCACTAATCATTTTTTTTTCAATAACAAATTAAATTAACCTATTTATTTTTATTTTTACAACGTAAATATGAGTTGGCTTTTTCTTTCATTCTTGGCAGTAATCTTCACTTTTAAATTTACAATAAAACAAACCCTTCGACGCTGAACTTAAAATAATACCCTACATTTACCATTGTGGTCTTGGTGAACCACCAGAAATTCCAAAACGGACTCGTCACCAAAAAACCAACCGCACTCTATAATTATCTCGAAATCTGTTCTTCTTGAACATTATATTTCTACAGACCCTTGAAATGAGAAAAAAAAAACACTATGTACTTACATGACCATGGCGGAGTTTTTCATGATACGTCCACATGGTCCAAATTGCTGTATGGGTGACGGAGCGTTCAAAGACCTCGTTCTCCTGAAAATAAAGCAACACATCAGTACGAAAAATATTACAGAACAAAGCAATACTTGATGGATGCCGGATCCAGCATGCTTGTACATCGCGAAAAACTGTTATTCTGCATATCTGATGAAAGGCCACCGACTGACTACACTGAAAAAGATACTACAGTCGATCTGTTTATTGTTGTACAATCCCGAAATAAACGAATCGCGCTGAATGTATTTTAATTGTGGACAAACTGGTAATATCTCCTCGCGAGGATTAAAAAGTATAAAAGATAACAACAATGTGACGTCATTGCAGTTTCAACAGTAATTGCGGACAAAATTTATAATTAAAAAAAACAAAAAAAAAGTATTCCGGTACCGGGAATCGAACCCGAGCCTCCTGGGTGAAAGCCAGGTATCCTAGCCACTAGACCATACCGGATCACATTTACTGTTCTTTGTAGCCGTGTTTACACCTTACACCAAGCACGTTCGTGTCAAAATGACACACGATTTTTTATTTTTAGAATTCAATGAAACAGTATTTAAGTAACTTACGGCCAAGTGCCTGACCGCCTTCTACGATGCCTGACTTTGTGAATTTCCCCTTCGCACACCGATTTCGTGTCGGAATCAGCAATTTTCTGTTTATGCAAACAGGCCAATCTGAATTCTAACCTGTCAGCTTTCCTGCACTGGTGCAAAATGGACAGATCCACGTCCGAACCGGCCCATAACGATGCCATCATACCGCAACACCAAACACTCGAAGGGCAGGATTATTTTGGTCGTTAAGGAAACTAGGTTATGTAAAAGACGTTGACATTTTGACGGATTCGATACACGAGGCAGCACTAGGGACGGTGGGTGAGTCAGGAAAGGGCAACGCCTTCACGCACAATCACACTTGGCTCCGTTACGAAGGGCCCGAATTTTCGTGCGTACACGTCATTTTTGCATAAACTAAACTTTTGACAATGACAGGTAACTGACAGGTGACAGCAATAACACGGTCGTTCAAAGGGGAAACATCAAATGAAAAATTTTGTTTTATAAACATAAATAAATGCAGAGGTTTTAATTGCTGTTATTAACGATAATTGCTGTTCATGACGTAACCGCATGCAGAGAAATCAGCGTTAAATTGAAATTTTATATAGCGCGTAACGAGAAACCTTGAGTAAAATTGCTTCGTAGTACGTTGCTTTGGCCTAGAAACAATACAATAAATTTTGCAATGTTTCATTTGAAATAAAATAGAAAAAAAAAGTTGCGATGGCCGGGAATCGAACCCGGATCAACTGCTTGGAAGGCAACTATGCTGACCATTACACCACCATCGCACTTGTTCAAGGCTCTTCGCAGAATCGTATATTAGGCGACCGTTGACCTAATACTTGCATTTTCATCCTGTTGATAATGCTGCGTTCCTGTTAACAAGAAGCTCGAAAATACGCCCAATGTTCGAAGAACGAAGAAATTTGCTGGTGGTGGCGGGAAGTGAAATTACAGTCGCTGTTTATGTTAGCCTGATACAAAGGAATCGAGAAATTTTGCCCAAGACAATAACTAAATTTTATGTAAATGTTAATGCGGGAAAAGAACATTGCGAGTGGGGATGTTTAAGTAAAAGCAATAAATATTAAATGGATTGTGAATGTTAGTGTTTCTGTTCTTCGGACATCTACTATCTTTTGATTCAGATGAACATCAATCCGGTATGGTCTAGTGGCTAGGATACCTGGCTCTCACCCAGGAGGCTCGGGTTCGATTCCCGGTACCGGAATATTTTTTTTCAACTTGATCGATAATACGGCAACCAGTAATACACTATTATATCGGGACAACATAACTCAAATTAACTTTACGTTTTTGCACTATGTGACGGCATTTTTTCTTTGCCTTATTCAATAAAAAGCGCACCAAAAAGGTGTTACATATGTAATTAACTAGATGCAACCATTTATTATTGTATATCATTTAAATACACTTCCCAAAAAAATGTCTTCCGAATTGTAGTTGTTAAGTTTGATGGATGATGAATAAGAGCAGCGGACAGTCGTATTATAGTTTTATTAAATAAATAACAAGTGTGTTCTAGAGCGAGTATGATATTATGACCGTTAGGTCCAGAGATTGAATATAAAGATTATGTTAACCGCTTGAAGAGTGCTTGAAGAGTGAATGATGAATAGTGAATGATGTTCCCTGTGTTTCAAAGTGGTGGTGGCCCTGGCTGCCACCCTTACGGGTGGAGAGGGGTGAAACAGGTCCCCGCCAGAGGCACTAACATACCCCCCGCCTTGAAACAATTACATTGTTTTAATACCAAATAATAGAATGTTAGAGTGATAACATGATATCATAATGATCAATTCAAATGAGAATACATGAGTAAGATTTACTACAATTAACATTGTATAGAATGGATTAACAGTGATTATACAATATGGGCAATAAACTAAGAATAGCGATTTACAACAAGTTGCCCACATACGATAAGAATGAATATAATTTATAGGTACTTGGAATACACCTGAAAGAGAGATTTACAACTCTTTATCAGGTACAATACGAGTGGACAAACTTTATTTACAATAGTGTGTAGATAACCAGAACCCGAATTAGTAAATGGAAAAGCCGTTTCCGAATAGGCGCACTTTATGATGCAATTTCGACACTGCACTACGCGAACAAGAACGTCTTTGCCACGATGCACTTGCACTATTCGTTGTAATAGCCACCGCAACGGGTGCCGGTTGTCTTCTTTGATCGGTAGTACCAGCGCTCCAGTGCCGGGAACGTTTCTTGAGAGGGTTTGCCACCTGGATCTCCCCTGCAGCGTCGTATGATATTCCACGGACCAGCGCTTCCAAAAATGTTGGCGGCAGGATTCACTCAATTGCCAACTGGAAAGCATGTTGACAGGAGTGTGGTCCTTTTCTATTGGAGTTGTCAATGGATGGCAAACAAGACAATGGCCCGGAGTCAGTGCGGCTGAATTAGTAACGTCGCTGGAAAGCGGCGTCACAGGGTGCGAATTCAGGACAGCTTCAATCCTGACCAAAAGCGCACACATCATCTCGTACGTTAGATGGTTGTATCCGATAATGCGCTGGATGTGAGTTTTTACGAATTTAATCCACGCTACCCACAAACCACCAAAATTGGGCTCACGCGGGGGAATTAAAGTCCATTTGATATTTTCTGGTTTTAGCTTATTCTGAAATTCTTTCCCTAATAGCAATTCGCTTAGCTTGCGCTTAGTACTTACGAAATTTGTGACGTCGTGACTAATGAATGCTGCATATAAGAACGATTCTTTTTGGTTATCCCACCTGATATCTAAAGTTTTATTATTGTATTGTTTGTCAGTTATTAAACGATTACTATTGGATGTAGCCTGAGCGCATTCTTGTATATCGGGACAATTAGACGGCCATTTACTTATCTTGAAACTTGCCTTCGCTAGAACGGTCTTTAACTCATCTTTGGGCTCGATTAATTTGACTATAGAATTTGAAACGAACAATGCCTTATCGACATAAAAACAATGATTGCGTTCAGGAGATTCTAGCCACATGATTTTTTGATAATTGCGGTCGTCAGAGCGAAGCCAACCGCACCGGTACATCTTCGATATATCACATGTGATGATAAATTGGGGCAAGCGAAATTGAATTAGAATTGTGAAAAGTTCGGACTGCAAAACGGGGGCTGTTAATGAGGTGTCATTTAGGCTTGAATTGTTTGAGCTAAGATTTGAACGGTCAACAACCTTGCAGAATTTATTGGAAGAAACGTGGGGATTTGAAACACAATTGTGTGGCAGGTAAATAGTATTATTTAAGGAATTTCCGTTAAGTACCTTCAGGTGTACAAGGTCTAGGTACTTCCTTAGAAAGACAATAAAACCCTTGGTAAGTTTATGATTACGACCCTCTGCGAACAATAACGGTTGGAAAACCCCTTCTCCGGAATTTCTTAATTGAAGTGGATTTTCGAAATAAGGGACTGTGGAACGACCCAACTTTCTCTCGACTGATAATAGCCACTTTGGGTGCATTTTTACGGAATTCTCTAATTGTGGCTGGTTTTCCGAGAAGAGGAGTTTAATTACGAAACGACCATCGGGTGAATGGCCGGTGGTATTTTGAAAAGGGGTTGCACAAAGAGAGGTTTTAAAACCTTTGCTTAATAACCTGCTTCCGGTTTTGACGGTTTCAACTTCCAAGAAATGAGAAATGATTTTATTCAAACTAATATTGCGATGACGGGAATTTCTTAAATGCCCAAAACTGCCGTTAAGAATCAACCCCAGCGCGGTATTTTGATGCGCCGGTGGATTTTTAATAAAATGATTTTGTATTTTAAGTTCGGCATTTTCTGAATGTTTTTTCTTATCGAGTATTGCTACGATTGACGTGTCGATGCTATGAATATGTAATTCCAAAGCCTTGCCCAAATTTTCGGTGATGAATTGAGATTGACTCCCGATGTCCAAGAAAACGCGACATTCTTTTACTTTACCTGATTGGCCCATTACGCGAATCAAACCGGTGGATAAAAGTACACTAGACGGAATAGCTAAATTACATTTCGAGGTGTCTTCAGGATTATCGGAATCCTCATCTGGTTTACTTTTGATTTCATTCTTGGGAAGGTTATTGTTTGTTTCTGTGTGCAAAAGCGTGTGGTGCTTCTTATGACATTGTTTACAACGCCTTGATATGTAACAATTTTTCGCAACATGATTACTTCTTAAACAATTGAAGCAACGATTCATTTTCTTTATTTGTTCCACTCTATCGTTGGGCGTTAAACTTAAAAAATTTGTACAATTGAATATGTTGTGCATTTGGGAACATATAAAACACGGGATTGATTGATTATTGCTTACTTGTACCTTGTTTGTGTTTGATTTTAATGATTTACCCAAATATTTGGTTTTGGATTCACATTGCTTACAGGTATCCAATAATGAGCTACAATCTTTCAAATTATCTGTAGGATTTTTTATTGGAA